TCTCTCTCTCTCTCTCTCGCTGGAAGGATTGCTGGTAAACACCAGGGCTACACGGGATGAATGTATGCGACCTGGCCGGCAAAGCGGTCTCTTGTGTTTCTCTCTTTTTCCTCTGTTTCTCGGTCGAAGAGGATCGTCTAGGGAGTTTCGAGTGGAACGTGAGGAACCGAAGGACACAGGAGCGGGGAAGCCGCAATCCTCTCTCGAGAGACGGACCACCTCGAGCTCCACGAGTGCGCGAGCCGACGAGACAGGATCACGGACGAACACGCGACGTTCTTGATACCGCTGCGGCGCGGTAAGGAAGCTTAACTCTGCTGAGCTGTAAGCCAAACGAACAATCGGACATTGCGCGTACGACGCTGGACTCACGCTGGATTCGCGGCAGCTCGCCCGTAAAGTCGAATAACGTGCAATGAGATTTGTTGTTTCGCACGCTGGATTTCACTCGCGCTTTTCTTTCACGCGGAGATGACTACTTCGTGGTATCTTATCTTGGAATTCTGTCAGTGAAAACTCGACTACCTATGGAACTCTAACGTTCATCGTTACGAAATTCTCGCGCACGGAATTTCACAATCGATCACGCTTGGATTTGCGGTTTCTAACGGATTGTTAACGATTAACAGCGGGAGAAATTTCACGAGTCGAAGCATTTAAGTTTCATCAATTGAACTAATAGTAAAACGAGCAATCACGACACTTGCGAAGTCCGAGTCCAACAGCGAATCAACGAAGTCGATCCTATTCCGATCGACTGATTAAATTGGAATTCGTCTGATGAAAGCAGCGGAGAACGGTTCCACGGTTCGTTATCTCGAGAACTCCGGTTTCGGTTCCGTCCGAGCGAGTCCGAACGACGAAAGAGGATCGAGGAAAAGAGAGCAGAGGCCTCGGAACCGGGCCGATTCCTTTCTTTCCCGGCGTAATAAGTTAGTTTCCCCGAGGTTATCCCCGGCTTCCATTTAGTCAATGGAACGGGGTGTCTTTGCTCTTCCGTGGCGGAGGTCGACTCGAAACGAAGGCAATTACGCGGCGTGGCACTCGACATTATCGCCTCTCGGGGGGTCGCTCGATTTCCTGCGCACCTTCTTCACCCCCTTGTCCACCTCTCTTCGAAACGCCACCCTTCATTCTTCGTTGCTTTCGCTTTCGCGACAATCGATACA